ACAATAAGATGACTCCGAGGCAAAATGTGCATCATGCCAGTAAGTGGTTCAGAGCATAATATGCATCGCGTGCCTCATATTTACATAACTACGATTGTGTAAACACGTACACTTCCTCCTTTTGACAGATTAGGGATGTAAGCCCTCCTGCAGCTCTGAGACCTGTGCATCACCGTGACTCACCGTCCCAGCTGGTTGCCTTTTTGTTTTTGTTGTTTAAAATCTATTATATCTTCTAAATTTGTAGCTACAGTAAGATCGTATTTATAGAAAGAGTTAAAACTGCTGTGCGGCGTGCAGATTATGAAGCATGATGATGTGTGCACGGATGCAGGTGCATGCCTGCCTCTGGGACCCTGAGCTGTTTTACACAGATGTGTTTTATCTAATGTGGGACAGCAGGGAGTTGCCTGGAAAGACTTGGCCATATGAGGCAGTGTTTTCGGGAAGGCTTGAGCTTTTGTTTTGTTTTTAGTTTTCGACTCATCCCAAATAATTATTGACTCTTACTAAAAGGACATGGAAAACAGAGAAACAGAGAAATCTTATGTTAATCGGACACTAGAGCGTCACATATCCAATTATGAATCAAGTCAGTTAAATCCAGTTGTGTCTCTTTGTGTGTGTGTGTGTGTGTTAGATTTCTGGCTTTACCAGCTGCCATTACCATTAGACTAACTCACTGGATATAGATTGCAGCCATAAGCCTGCCATTGGTTCTGCATTTTAAGTAGCTTTCTCCTCCTCTGTGCGCTACCGTTTTCAAAATCCCCTTCATTTCAGGAAACAGCAACAACTACCTCTGGGCTGGCAACCCTGCTAAACAGCAAAGTTCAAAGTTTTCTGAGGATTTGGATCACGCAGTAAGGCAGCCCTGCTGTAAGGCGCCACTTTTAATCACAATGCTCACCTCTCTGCATGCAAATGTTCCACCAAAACAATTCCCCCCATCGCAATTTTTCAGGGCACGGAGTTGCCACATCATTTGCTTTGTCCAAGATGATTGTGGCTGGTTTAAAGAAACACAAACATGTCAGGGTGCTTTTCTCCCCCCTAGTGCAGGTTGATTGTGAGGTGCTGCCAGACGAGTCTGCTTTGCAGAACCATGAAATGAAGCAGTGTCAGTTAGTCAAGTTAGTCATTCTAAAAAATATATCAGTAAAAAACCAAAACTTAAAAATCTGCCAGCAAGGGTGCCAGAAAATATATGTACATTACTTTATGTTACATACAATCCACTAATAATAGAATACTGTAGCGTTAAAAAGCAGTAAAAATAATGGCAAATATATGTGCAATAATTCTATTTTTTTTTAGTTGATTTACACATAGTAAAACTGTAATTTTATGGTTTTTAAAAAGAAACCACTATTTTTAAAAATACACATTTTTGATTTGGACAATATTTGCAATTTTTGTCTGTTTTTACATTAGTAAATTAGTCATTTTTTCCTGTGATTTTCCAATATTACCAATATTTTATGAATGCAGCAAAAATAGTTTAATATATAGTTAAAGATTGCAAAAGAAGAAATGATCATTTATTTAAAAAAATATAGAAAATACAGATTTTTGATGAACATTTTTTACTGTTTTGGCCTGCTTTTTGGGATTTTTTTTTGTTGATTTTTAAATTATTTTTTTTTTACGATAAGCATGTAAATAAATAGTTTTCATTTGAATTTACTAGTTAGTATCTCTAAGTTATGGAAAATCTGTAAAAACATGTAGATAGTTGAAAGAAAAAAGTATTTTTTCCCCTTTTTTTTAATTTATTTTTTTTACAGTGCAGCTAATACCAAGTAATAATGAGGACATTCCATTAATTATTTATTTACATGATAAATAATGACAAAATAACATAAAAATCTGATTTATTTATTTTACTGACTGCAGTATCATGTAGGTTTCCATAAAGGCCAGTTATTTACATTAAAATTGGCCTGTGTGTGTGCTGGCCTTTGTCGTGCCCTGCTAGACTAAGATTCAGTCAAAATGATGGATGTCAGAGAACATCAACATTGATTCCTGTCTCCTCTGAAAAAGCCCCTATTTCATCATCTCCTGGTTCAATTGAAAACAGTTAGGCTCCATATTATTAATGCCTTTCCTATCTGACCTTTCTGTCCTTTTATTTCTCATTTTTTGAATACAGATGTCTATTTTTTTGTCCCCCACTGCACCTTGTTTTCTCCTTTTAGTTCCCACTTGTTCTCTGTTTTTCTATATTTAGTACATTATTACACAGCTGTGCCTCGTGTGCAGTACATCTGTACATCCATCCTCAGCCCTGCTCCCGTTAATGCAGGTTGCATCAGCATCGCTAACAATCACATAGCTTTAACCTCCAAACACTTTGCGCCGCTGAACCCCTTCCAACAGCAGCATCCCCATCTTCAACAGGATATTGAGCGGCATCGAATGAGACAGCGCGAGTGATAGCGACACAGTTAGACATGAAATAGCCCGCGCAGCTCGGAAACAGGCAAATAAACTAGCATCATGATTCACCGTTGACCGGGGCAGTGAGCGACAGGAAAAGCCCCGAGGACCTCAGTCAATCTCTGAAGACTCGCACAAAATGGAAAAAATGCTATTTATAGCCTGACTCGTGCCCAAAAATGTCAAGACACAAATGTTTATTTTCTTTTCTCAGCCAGAAACAGAGCAGCTGAGGTAGATGGAAATTACAGTGAGGGAGGGGGGAAAATGTAAATCTTCACAAGAGATTCCACATTGTTTATCAGAAAAATAAAGAATAACGGTGGCCTGTGTTCGAATGTTTATGCCTCAGTGATAATATAACAGCAAAGGTTATTGGGAGGAGCTGAATTGAGTGTATATGGGTGCACAAATGACCCAATAGTGATTTAGCAGGTGGTGGATGGAGAACCATATGTTTAGGTTTCAGTATGAAAAGCTATTTAGGTAATTACTGATGTGGATTTTCAAATCAGAAATGTGCCGTACATGACTTTACATTGCACACAATTCACTCAAAATGTACATTACTTGCAGCGTGTACATACATTACTGCATAAAAGTGTGCGCACATAAAATAAGGAGTCATCTGCATTTACGCAAAACACTAATCTAAACCAACCCCCAGCCCAGGAAGACCCTTAAAATGACACTAACTGACACAAACTGTTCTCCCCCTCTACGTCTTGTGCTCTCATAAACTCTCCTCCGTTTTTCTTTTTTCTTTTTTTTCTTTTGGGATCTGTCTTTTCTCAAAAGTACATTGCTGGAATCATGGCCAAAAACAAATGGGCCCATTAATCCATTAAAAATGTAATCTAGACATCACGGAGATCAGACGCAGATCGCAGTTTCTGGATGTCTCTGGGATGGCCCAGGGGGTGTTTATGTCGTCTTGAGTGAAAAGTTATTTGACCAAGCTTTGCCAGCTCTTTACCAATTAAGCACTGGTTGTCAAATACTCATTCTCACATACGGGCGTCCTCAAATTTATTCATAGTCTCCCATTAAAGAAGGAAAACAACAGATGTCGCTGAAATAAGGTGAAATTGAGAAAAGTAGGAATAAAAAAAGTTTAATGAAAATCATGACATTGCTTTTGAATTGTGGTTCAACAGAAATATATGTAAAAAAAAAACAATCAATAAATAATAAGCAAACAAGCATGATAGGACCCAGAAACTAATATTTAGTTGAACAACCCTTTGAGCCAATCACTGCAATCAAGTGTTTTCTGTAACTCTCAGTCAGACTTCTGCACCTGTTGACAGGTGTTTTGGCCCACTGCTCATCAGCAAAGTGCTCTAATTTGTCCTTAACAGTTTTGTTTGTTTGTTTGTTTTTTTGATTATTCTTTTCAACCACAACTCAAAAGCAATGTCTTATTTCACTAAATTATAATTTAGCAAATTTTTATTTATTATTACTTTTTCCAGCTTCTAGTATTTGAAAGTTTGCAAGGTGGAGCGGTGGTTAGCACCGTTGCCTCACAACTAGAAGGTCGCCGGTTCGCGTCCCGATGAGGACACCCTCTTTCTGCGTGGAGTTTGCATGTTCTCCCCGTGCAGCGTGGGTTCTCTCCGGGTTCTCCGGCTTCCTCCCACACAGTCCAAAAACATGTTGAGGTTAACTGGTGATTCTAAATTGTCCATAGGTGTGAATGTGAGTGTGCTTGTTGTCTGTCTCTAAGTGTAGCCCTGTGATAGTCAGCTGGGATAGACTCCAGCCCCCCCACGACCCTAGTGAGGATTAAGGGGTGTATAGATAATGGATGGATGGATAGTTACTTGAGTGACTATAGTGAATTTTGCCTTTTCTTTAATGGAAGGGTATGAATAAATTTGAGGACGTCTATATTTCCCAGGGATCTATCGATTTGTACTTTTGTTTTTTTTTAGGAGCGCTATCCTGACACTGGCTACACAATCACTTTTGTCAGCATATCAAATTCTGCCCAACGTGGGAACTGGCGATTATTTAATTTCACTAAAGCAGCACTTTTTTCACCTACTGGGGGAGGATCTGTGCCGCTTCACACTGTTTGGTGAAGTTCAGATAACACATCAATGTGAAGTTCAAATGCTTTGTGAACGCTGTGACACATGCTTGTACACACACAGAAGGGAATGACACCTTTGATACTCGCAATGAATTAAGCTCCCTTATTAGTCATTATCCTTTTTTTTTTTCTGAAGGCGCTCGCTGCTCTGTCATCACACACAGAGGCACACTGGTAGCTCTCTTAAGGTCTCATTAAAGAGCTCCAATAAGGCAAGAATAAAAACACTTGCCTTTCATTCATTTTTCTCTCATATTTTTACATTGTGATCCTCTAATTTGTTCTCTTGTGCAATAACCATCTCCAAGCCTTTCACTTTCCAAAGATCAGGAGACACTGCTCCTCCTTTTATTTCTCTGACAGGAGATGCCTAATTGCTGGCTATCTTTTCCTCCACCCCTTTTGCTCATCTCTCCCTCTCTCTCTCTCTCTCTCTCTCTCTCTCTCTCTCGGTCTGTAGAAGTGTGACTGCCTGCTCAGCCTGGAAGCCTATTCGGCAGACCAGAAGCGCCGCGTGTGTCAGTGCCTGAAGGACAACATCGACAAGCAGCTCCAGCTTCACAGGAGGGAGCCTCCCGTTCCGCATTTCGAACAGGTACGACGCATGGACACGCACACCTAGCGCTTTCATTTGAGTCCAAAGACCAATCGGTAAACACACGAGCACATGGGAATGCATATATTTGTGCGTACACCCCCACCCTCCACTCCCCTCCCTCTCATCACAGATGCTCCCACCAAGCACACACACACCCAGTTAGTAACATAAAACACTTTCCTAGCAGCTCACACTAATGATTTTCCACTTACAGTAGTTCTTACTTTTCTCTGGGGAGATTTAATGCCGCCTTTTTTATCTTGGCTGCATTTGAATAGTTGGTGTCACTGCTTTAGTTAGTGTCAGATTAAAGTTTCTGCTTGACTCTGTTCATTAGGTGTGAGTGGAGTAGATGTTGCATTCGTGTGATGGTTTTTAGAAACCACAATACACGTAACTGAGCTGTTTCAGGTGTTTTCTCACTGTGCCAGCTGACCTGTGGCATGATGACTGGTGATGCATAAAAAATACAAAAAAAATCACGCATTTAGATAAGAAGCTGCTCTGCAACTGCTTTGTTTTGTGTTTTCATTGACATTCTGATGTTCATGCTCAGCTTCCAGCTCACTGTTTTTGTTTCTGGCTACAGTTTTCCTTGAAATCTGTTGAATTTATGCTTTTGTGACCTAATTAACGACCTGAGATCTGATTTTATTTTATTTATTTAACCTTTGCATTAAAAACAAATTGGACCCAACAATGGCATATTGCTAATAATCTTTTAAAGATTGTTTGGGGGCATTGTTATCTCATTATTTTATACTGGTAGTGGAGAGGGATAGAAACAGCAAATATTCACCTGGTGGGATTCGAACCAGCGACTTGCTGTTCGAGGCATTTGCACCTATAAGTTTTGGGGTGTCACCCTGACATATTATCACCTGTTAAATTGACAATGTGTTAGCAGACAGTGACTCATTTACACATCCACAGATATGGAGTAAAATTAATTGTTTTTGCTGAATCCAGGTCGACCTACTTTCAGCTTTGTTTTGGTCTCAACTAACTCGTATAAAGAAATGTCTTTAGCTGTTAAATGCACCATTGTGTTCACCAAGTAGCTGTCTAGTAACTTTGTCCTGTTTGTTGAAAAGCAATAAAGTTTGGCTTGAATAGCAAAACAATGAGCTGAAAGACAGTAAAATGTTCTAAAGTGAGCTGCAGATTTAAGTGATGAGTCGCTGTAGATTCATTATTGTGAGCGACCTCTTTCACATTTAACAGCCATTTGGTGAATTTTTATTACTTCTAGCCACTTTAACCCTTTATGGGGCAAGTGACCATATTTGGTAACTTCCTTGGACGTCCAATATGTCCACCCTGTGCCTCTCCTTGAGGTTGAAGAACCATGTGCACTTTGATTAAGTTTTTATGTTAGTGCCAATATCATTACCTTAGAAGAAATGTCACTAAACAAATGTTCCAGGCGTTTTATAAATGCTTTGTTACTGGTTTGCGTTGAACTCCACTTTGATTGGTGCCAAAAAAAAACTACCCCAAGAAAAATGTTACTAAATGAACTTGCCAAACACTTTGTAAATACTTTGTTACTGGTTGTGTTTTGGGATCAGTGGTTAGCATCATTGCCTCACAGCAAGTAGGTCGTCGGTTCACATCCCGATGAGGACACCCAGGATCTTTCTGTGTGGAGTTTGCATGTTCTCCCCGTGCAGCGTGGGTTGTCTTCGGGTTCTCCGGCTTCCTCCCACAAGGTCCAAAAACATGTTGCGGTTAATTGGTGATTCTAAATTGTCCATATATGGTAAAATTGCCCATATATGGGAACTTTATTAATCTTGATTTGCAACTTTTTTTTTTTTTTTTTTAAGTCACAAAAGTAAAAAATATCTTGAAATATCCTTCAATAACACTCTACGATTGAAGTTTTAATTTTCCAAGTATTTCAAGGAGTGCCCTATAAACGGTTGAGTTTCCTCCTTTACTGAAATGGTGCACTTTTTGGAAGCACTGAAATAAAACAAACGAGACGTATTTTAATCGACCTCCTCTACTTTTAATGCAGCACGACGGCGGTGCAGACTGCTTAAGGATGCACTGTAACTGATCTTTAAGTGCTTACTGGGCCTCGACTGCCCTGATTAAGAGGGCGGCTGCTGGGGAGCTGTGACTGATATTACCATGGCCCAGTTTGGTCATTTCAAGCACTACCCAGGGAAATCTGCTCAAAATGGGCTTTTTTTCCCCTCCCTCCTCTTGTCAGGTTCTTTAATTGCTATTTGGGGAAATTTTTGTGGAGAGTGCCAGTCTGATATAAGTTTAGACCAAATACATAAATCCACGTACTCTGGAGCACTGAGGGCTTAATATTTTTCTGTCCGTAAAGTGCAATTTTTGGTTTAGATTTTATCCGACCATCCCATTTCCTGCTTCTTTAATTCCTTACACTCCCTCCCGCATTTAATATTCTGTACTTTCTTAATGAGCAGCAGAGACAGTCCATTCACTTCATCAGTTCAAATGGAGCACCACCCAGTTAATTTGAGTTTAGCTGAAAGGTGATTAAAATGGATAGATAGCCATGTGTGTAGATGGCACACCTGTTGTACATTAGGCCTTCATTTCATCAGCGCATGAAAGAGACACAGAAGCAGGACAAGGCGGCAGGCTTTCATCCTTTTCATGTGTATTTATTTACCCATGCATTCAGTATGC